AACCACTGAACCGATTGTTATGAAATTTTGCACATGTAAACAATTCACAAACTAGTTATACCCACATTTTCATAATTTTTTACCCACGGATAAAAATGATGCATTTTTTTCGAGTACGAGCCTTAATCAATTTGACAGATCGATGTCTTTCTATACCATTTGAAATCACTGAAATGGGGTCGATTTTTGATGATCGAGTTCCACATATGTTATGTGGCTTGGGCCTTTAGAACTGTCAAATATTTGTAAACAAACCCGAGCCCGTATCTGATTCTTAACGTAAGTGTAATGACGTTCCCCTGGGAAGTAATCAGCATGATAAAAGTTTTGTGATATTGTAATATTACAGAAATATGGACTGGGAATCGAAGCGTCTCGCAGTTTTCAAGCTGCTGGAGACACAGAAGTCGGTCGGTGAGATAACCAAGCTGCTTGGTGTGAATCGAAAGTTTGCCTGGCGTTGCAAAAAACGATTGGAGGATGGAAGTATAGCTTCAAGAGACCTGGGTCAGGGAGACCCCGTTCTGTTCGGACACGGGCGTTGATAAAGGCGGTGGCCAACAAAATTCGTCGGAATCCGGTAAGGTCTATGAATCAAATGGCTAAGGACTATCAGGTGTCGCGTATGACTATGTAAACCGTGGTTAAAAAGGATCTTGGTATCTATCCTTCTAAACTGCAACCACGTTAACTTCTCTCAGAAGCAGCAAAAAAGCAGCGACTGGAAAGAAAGGAAGAAGTGGCTCGCGGATAACCCTTACGTCGTGGTGATTTATTCGGATGAGAAGCTATTTGACGTCGGCCGCAAATTTCACCGTCAAAATGACAGAGTGCTATGCAAGCATCGGAGTTCAACTGATCCCAACAACATATTCGTCTACACAGCGCATAAACCAGATTTGGTGATGATTTGGGCAGTAGTTGCATCGAATAGGAAGAAATCTCCAAGATTCTGCACCTGCCCACGCAGCCAAACGCGTTCAAGCGTGGTATCAACAGAACTTCGATCATTTTTGGTCAAAAGAAATGTGATCTCCTTCTTCTGCGGATATTAACCCGCTAGATGTCGCGATGTGGGGCATCGTAGAAAGGCGACTAATGCTACGCCAAGAAGCAATAAGGACGCTATTATGGTAGCTATACAAAGAGCCTGGGGGGCGACCCCGGCGTAGTGGTTAGCATCCATACCTCTCACGCCAAAGTCACGAGTTCTAATCTCACCCCCGGACAAGTAACGAATGACCCAAGAGCGTTAAAGTGACTATAATTAAAAAAAAAACAAACAAAAAACAAAGAGCCTGGGACGATGTTTCTAAAGAAATCGTGTGAGCCAGCTGCTCCAGTGTAGATCTCGAGCCAAAGGCTCCCATTTTGAATAAGCTTATGCTGAATAAATCTACACTGACTCTCGAATACAGATGGTGTAGTAAAAGTCTATTGAAACTTAATATTTAAAAAAAAGTAATCTTATAACGGACAGTAGAAAACTAAACAAACAAAATCTTTGTATTACATTAGGTAATGAAAATGTTCAAAAATGTGAAAATGTAAGAGATTTAGGTGTTATTCTAGATTCTAAATTGACATTTGTGGACCATTATAACACAATAATACATAGAGCAGGCAATATGCTAAATTTTATAAAACGTTTCGGTCTCCACTTTAAAAATCCTTGTACAATTAAATCACTTTACGTTGCTTATGTGAGGTCAATTTTAGAATATTGTAGCGTTGTTTGGTCACCCTATATGAAAAAAGCATGAAGAACGAATAGAGTCATTCCAAAAGCAATTTTTATTATATGCACTACGTAAGTTAGGTTGGACGGCTTTTCCTCTCCCGTCATATGAAGCACGTTGTTTGCTGATCAGCATTCAAACATTGAAAGAACGTCGGGATTACGCAAAGATTTCTTTATTAAACAATATCATTTCGCAACGCATTGACTCATCTGATCTATTGTCAAGGTTAAATGTGTATGCACCTTCCCGACAATTACGCAATCGACACTTGTTCGCAGTAGATCGCCATCGGACCAATTACGCTAAATTTGGACCGGTAAATCAGATGATGACTGTTTATAATCATCATTGTGAAATGATTGACCTAAATATGCCCTCAACAGAATTAAAAATATATTTCAGAACCCTGCGAAGTCATAGAACATAAGTCCTAATGTAAATATGTAGTCTACGATTTGATTGATTGACGAATAAATAAATAAATAAATTATGATTAAATTTCGTAAAACTTACTTTTGGAATAAATAAAATATTGAGAATCATAATTCAGCCGTTTTATTCAGCCACCCTGTAATTTGTAGTGCAGCTTTTATAAGAGGAATGAATGTAGATCGATATTTTTCCACGCCGCAATCGGTTGTTGATTTAAAAATGGACTTTCCCAACTAACAATTTTTACAATGTAAACGCTTTACTCATTTCATTTATGAAGCCTCAAGCAGTATTCAAACTTTATACGATATGAGGCAACCGTTACTCAATTTCTATACAAGCATATCTGGCGAACTTAGTCAGCTACTTATGGCTGTTGGGACAGCTCTTATTGCACTTCCATTTACGCTTCTATACAGCTGTTATCCTGCTGTTTAGTTGTGTGCGAACTTGAATGGTGCTTATTCAACCTTTACCCGGTTATCCAATAATCACTACACAGCTTTCTCTTGAATCCGGGTTAAATATTATTTACGGTTTTTTTTTTTGTTGGAGAAATTGATTGGGTTTATTTTGTTGTGAGGAACCAAATTAATCGAAATTAGTTATAAACACACCACAAATCATTTACTCGGCACCGGAACCTGGAATCGAACTCGAGACGACCACATTGGCAAACCTTGACACTTCCATCTTCGCTACGCCAACACTTTGAACTGACGTAAAATAATATACATGATTTTCTACAACAATATCGCTGAGTAGAGGCTTTATAATAGTGCACATGAATCACTTTTCTCGACTAGTTACTTCAGCTTTGTAAAGGAGCAGAGTAGAAGCTGTAAAACTGCACACGTCTAAAAATAAACCTAGTTGACTGTAAAAATGCTTCCAAAGTAGCGCTAACACAGTTTATAAGCAGAGTACAGGTTGTTTAGTTGTTGAAAAAGCACTTTTGAAATTTATGTTATTCGGCATAGTTGGTTGTGTAGAAGCCATCAAATGAGTAATATATTCACTTTATTAGCTTTGTTTTGCAGCTACAAGTTGAAAGTTGATTAATATTTGCATAGAAGTGACGTTAGCGTTTATTGGCTGCTGTTCTTCAGTGCGACTGACAAATTGAATAATGGTTGTGAGAAAGTTGAGTAAACGCTCTCCAAAACTATTTTGCTAGCTTCTGCTGTAGCTGTATCTGCAGCTTTGTTTCAGCTACTTTACAGCACAATGCTGGAAAAGCTGGCTTATAAAGCTGAAAATGTTAGTTGGGTTGTCTAAAGCTTGCTTCAGATCGAATTGGAACAAAAACAATTGTCTGTATTTCAGTTATTTATTATTGAATTCAAGATCTTTTTTTTATACAAATGTAGCGTTTTCTCGAATTTTTCCTGTAACACGGCTCATTAGGCGGCGCACACCTTCTTCGTCCATCGTTTTAGCTATCTTACTCCACCAGGTCTTCATCTGATTGATGTCTTTGACAACCTTTCCCTTTGCCTTGAGTCTCCTCTTCATGATTGCCCAGTATTTCTCAATAGGGCGGAACTGGGGGCAGTTGGGTGGGTTAAGGTTTTTCGGAACAAACTGGACCCCTTTCTCTGCATACCATTCTTGAACGACTTTGCTGTAATGACAGCTTGCCAAATCTGGCCAAAACATTACGGGATGGTCGTGGGATCGAATGAACGGCAAAATTCGTTTTTGGAGACACTCTTTTTGGTATAGTTTCGACGTCATTGTCTTATTTGTAACGAAAACTTTCGTTTTTTTGCCACAGCTGCAAATGCCCTGCCAAATCATAAATTTTCGTGCAAATTTGTCGGCAAAAACAAATTTAAATTTGGCTGGAACATCCCCCCGAGCCGTTGCCAAGTAAAATTTTTGACCTGGGATTTGCCCGAAGTCAGCCTTGACATAGGTTTCATCGTCCATCAGAAGACACCCGTCGAACTTGGTCAGCACCTGGTCGTATAGCTTCCGCGCACGGATTTTGGCCACACTATTCTGTTTTATGGTCCGATTTGACTGTTTGCTAGCTCGATACGACTTGATTCCTTCCCGGGTCGAGTACTATGGGCAGCACCGAAATTTCTGGCCAAATCACGGTCCGACAGATTGGGATTCCTCTTAATCGTCTTCAAAATCTTACCACGCAGTTTCCGGTCGACAGTTCCACTCCGACGATTGGCTTGAGGCTTCCGAATCGTCGTCAATGTTTCCTTATACCGTTTGATAACGCGCCATACGGTATTTCTGGGCAATTTCAGCTGTTTAGCTAGCCTAGATGCAGACCACAATGGATTTTCCAAATAACTGTGCACAATTTTTTCCCTTCTTTCGGCTTCCATGTTGATTGTTTACAAAGTACAGTCGATTTTCGGAATGTCAAAAATATATACGTAAGCTGACAAAATTCCCGACACGTGGGCGCCAAGAACTTCCAAATCCGTCCACCAGGAGCACCACAATATGAGCAAAAGTTTGTTCCAATTCTAAATGAAGCAAGCTTTAGGTAAATAAATCTAATAGCATACAATGTGTCTCAAATGTAGCTATTTAATAAGAAATAACGCAGTTATTCATGAATAACCAATTCAATTTCAATGTACCTCGAATGTGGTTATTATCATTCGAGATACCTCGTAATTGAATTATTTATTAATGATTTCTATCAAAGGCACACAAACATCGCTTATTTCTTCCGCGGAAGCCTGCAAATGATAATTAAATCTAACTTTTCAATCATATTACCGAAACGACTACCATGTTTTACATTGTAAATCCACTCATACCTTCGTTTCATTTTTCTACCCCAAAAAAAATCAGGTGAAACGTGATATGGTACAAATCAAGCATGAGCTGGATACCGTGCAACAGGTGAAGGAAGAGATCGAAGAGCTGCGGGAGTACGTGGACCGGCTGGAGGAGCACACGCACCGGCGAAAATTACGCCTTTTGGAGCAAGTCAGTACCCGATTTCACAGTTTCAGTTGAACAGCTTTACGTTGCGAATTTTGTTTCGTTTTACATTTATGCATGTCAGCCGCACTCGGGAAGCTCTCAGCGAAAAAAAGCAAAAACGCTGCGAAACAAGCAAAATCCGGCAGCTTACAATTTTATTTCATTTATTTAATGTTTTTTATGTGTTGTTTTTTTTTGGTTTGTTTTTAGGTTCCATTCCAACCCCTCCATTGGAAGGTAATCAACATCGACGGGACAGAGAGGGTGGGACAAAGTTTTCGTTTCATTTTCCCAAATCGTTTTTTATCGATTCCAGTTGCCAGGTTGTTTTTTTTTTTGGAATTTGTATTTTTCTGTTTGGTTATTTATATCAACCTAATAAAGACTTATTTCTCGTTATCCCAACTGATGGTTTTATTTATTGTCGTTTGACAGAATATACAGGTTCTGTTTCCGATTGCTTTCTAATGACCACCATCCGTTTCAGGGTCTGACGTTCTTCCTGACGTATGCCATCTTCGCGGCGGTCCTCGGGATGCTCCAGTTCGGTTACAACACCGGCGTCATCAATGCTCCCGAGGTCAACATCGAGAACTTCATGAAGGATGTGTACAAGGACCGGTACGGGGAGGACATCAGCGAGGAGTTTATCCAGCAGCTCTACTCGGTGGCAGTGTCCATATTTGCCATCGGCGGTATGCTTGGAGGATTCAGCGGGGGCTGGATGGCCAACCGGTTCGGGAGGTAAGAGCGTACCATAGATCTTGTTTTGTCGGTATTATTTATTTTTAATTACGGTTAACGACTTTCCAGTCAGTATTAATTGTTTTATGAGAAAGCTAAAGGCTGATTAAAAGTAAATTGGTACGCGCAAAAAAAAACTGTAATTTGTGATTCAATAAGTTTAAAAATACCATGGTTGCTTTACAGTACTGTTATTGAAATTTCAAAGTAACATCATTGGATGGTTGTATTTCTTCAATTCGAACGAAATCTCGAACCTTCCTCTTGAGCGTCCGCACAGTGGAAACGGACACGGAATCAGTGAATTTCTTCCACTTTACTCGCATTTGCTGGATTCTTGAGTGCCCCCCCCCCCCGCTTCGTCGAAATTGCCAAGTATTTTTCGATTGGTCGAAATTCCGGGCAAATCGGAGGATTAATTATCTTGGGGACAAAATCGATCTTGTTGGCAGCATACCACTTCAGAACCACCAAATCGGGCAAAAAGATAACTTTGCCCCTATGCTTGCGGATGAACGACAATAAACGCTTTTTCAGGCATTCTTCGATGTGAACTTGGGATGTCATCGTCGAGGATGTGACGATTTTCAGGCCACAATTGCAAATCGTTTGCCAAATCATGGCCTTCTTCGCGAACTTGAATCTTCCCGGCACATCCCCACGTCCAGTCACGATGTAAAACTTTTGACCGGGAAGCTGCTTAAAATCGAGTTTGACGTATGTTTCGTCATCGATCAAAGTGCAGCCCTTGTGTTTTATCAAAACATGGTCGTACAAAAGAGCCTTACACGCTTTTTGGCCACGGAGCTCTGCTTCATGAGCCGAATCGGATGTTTACTGGCTTTGTACGACTTGTATCCTTCCCTAGCAAGGATGTTCCGCATCGTTGGAATGTTGTCGTTGTACCTTCTGGCCACATCTCGGATCGAAAGACCGGGGTTGGCTTTAACGCACCTCAACACCTTGCTGCGCAGCTGACGATTCCTGGTTCCTGTTTTTTTTCGTAGGTCCGTTGATTCCTTTCCACACTCAGGTTTTGAGCACTCGACAAACTGTTGTTTTCGGCATCTTTAGCACTTTAACCAGCTTGGAACCGGACCACTCCGGATATTCCAGGTGTTTGTGCAGAATATTTTTTCTTCTTTCCAGTTCTATTTGACGTTATTTCTGAACGAGATCGACTACTTTGATCAAACTTGCACCAGTTGTCCTCTAAAGAGCTTTTTGACGTTTAATCGGCGCACACTACTGTACCATTTAGAGCGAACGAGTGCGAGCAAGAGGGAAACAGATTAGTGGGAAAACAAACCGTCCATTCATCCATGTGTGCTGGATAGAGAAAGATGATTAAACGTCAAAAAGGTCTATAGAAGTGTAAACAAACTACTGTCACAGATTTTCGATTTCCAACACTAGAGGTGTGCTAGTGGCGTGCGAGGGATGTGCCAATTTACTTTTAGTCAGCCTTTAGAAGATAATGAGTGGTAAATCATAGGTAAGAGACGCCGTGTGAAAAAAATTGCGAAAAAATCTACGGCACCGGTGGGATTCGAACCACAATCTTCCAAAGCGTTCTCCAATACTCAACAATCGTCTACTATCGACGATATGTGCTTGTACCGCAACCACTCAGTATTAACTGACGTGAACAAACACAGCTCTTTTGTGTTCATATTACACATGCTGGATTAGGGTTGTCCAGTGCAGTATTGACCAGCCGGAAAACTCAACATCAAAAATACATCTACCGCTCACCGTATTTCGATTGACCTGTATAATTATTGTAACGTTTTGGGAAGCGTTAGTTGAAAGTGAATTTCTTATCACAATTGACGTATTTCACGCTAACTGGTTGACAGCATCCTCTCAAATTTAAATGAAACTTAATGGGTATCAGTAATGGCATAATATTGTCGCGCTTATGTTAAATTCTCATTCGGTAACGGTGGAAGCGCGCCGCTCATTAGGATTATACACAGGTGTGTAACTTTGATAGTATTTTATGGCAGCGGCTTGAGGAGCGAATCCTGGATTAAGAGCCGCCGTGTGTTAAATCAATGGGGACAGTCGTACGGCCATAAACAGAAAACAGATGGTATAATCCCTTTTTGAGAAATAATTCTGCCACACACAATATAAATGACATATGTTCGCTCTCACACGCTCTCAATATCACGCACTGATACTGAAGCACAATATCATGTATTTTATTGAATTTACAAGCTCCTTTGTCATTGTGAGAATATTCTCTATTTACTATTTATAGACTAACATTAGAAAAAGGCGTAATTCCAAAATCACCATATAGAGAAAATCGCTTCCGAATTTTGATAGCCTAAATATTAATCCTAATTCACGAATTTCCATTTTCTGGACGATTTTATTAGCTTGACGTATGGTAAATAGTGTAATCTATCATCGTGCATTACTAAAAACTTAAAAAAAAATATTTCTCGTTGAATTGAGAAGAAAACATCATACGCCCTGATAATTTCTTTCATGTTGTTACCCCCCGGATCTTCCACCCTTTGAACTGCCAACACTGGTGATACGCCGTGGAAATACACCATCAGGATTTTTTGATTGTTGTTCCGCCTTGGTTCTTCGTTCGCAAATTTTGTGAGAGTGGAATTAAGTCCAGAGATATTTTTTTTGTCTTCTTTTTGTTCGTTGTTTACGCATGAAATATCAATCGGATGCATTTCAAATGAATCGGGCGTGACTAGATACTACAGAATCAGTACGTTTGGCATATTAAAACAATACAATTCGTAGTTCTGTGCAAGGCGTAACAACCAGATGCATCATAGAGTTGAAAATAAAAATACGCCATGTAAAAGGAAGCGTTTTTGATGATTTGAAATGATATTTTCTTCTTCTTTTTCGTGTTTATCGAAAAGTGTCTATATGTGGCAAAATATGGTTTGTTTACATTTTGGCACTTCCGCCTCTTTCAAATGTTAGACTACAATTAACCTATGGCAGACACGAAGCTACTGTTGCCAGCAGTGACGGAATCATCGGGTCGCGTTCGGGTGTGATGCAAAAATCTTGTATCTCAAACCTACTACAATTTGCTCGTGCTCGAAGAAAATAATTATAAAAAACACCGAAATTACAATGTTTTTCAGTGCATTCGAGTACAATAAAATTTATTATTAAATTGTAGTACGGGAAAAAAACATCTCGATTTTTAACTATACAATGCTCAAGCAATGAAAATTACTGTGATGAGATCAAATTTGTTGGAGAAAAATCCGTTTGTTTTATTGATAAAATGCATAGCAACCCACCTTTTTCACTGTTAATTTCTCTAATACCATGATTTTCATTGTTCTGAACCATGAATCTCGCTGTGCTTTTATGCTAATTGACAAAATAACCACTGTTTTTACAGTAAATATCATGGCTACAATGACAATGAAAACCACTGTGTTTTGTTTTGTTTTTTGACGTAGACTACGTCTTACGGGAACGACCTGGGGGTATATCGAAAATCTAAAATTGCGACCGTCACGAAAAGGTGTAAGGTTTTGAACGCTTATAACTTTGTCATTTATAGATGTTATTAAAAATTCAAATACACCAATCGATAGGAAATAACTCTCATAATCTGCTACAATAAATGCCTTTCCAATTTTTCATATAAAAACTGTTGAAAAATTTATGAATAAAAAGGGATAATTTTATCCCTGATTTCATGAAATAAACGTTCTCCCCAAACCCAGTTGTCATAATCGAGTACCATTTGGTTGCACCTCGTGCTGCTTGAATCTGAAAAGTTATAAAAGAGCGCTGCTTTTGTGCTTCAACTCATAAATCCCATTAGACTCCGTAGCTCCATTCTAAGGCAATACCAGCGTTCTGGCTTGCCTGTCTTGAAAACCCACTGTAATCGCCTAACAAAAACCATCCAAGCCAGGATGGTGGACATCAGAAATCAGAACTTTGCTAACAGGATCTCTCTCAGATTGTGCAAAACCCTTTTGGAAACCAATCAAAATCCTTAAAAATAAGCCAAGACCCACTGGATAGTCCCAGCGGGGTACACGACGTTAGGCATACGGACGTTAGGCATAATGTACGATAGGCATAATGGACGTTAGGCATAATCTACCCGATGAATGCCAGAAGGATGATAATAGGGACCGTCTATTGATTGCTGATTTCGGTGACAATAATGAAAGAGCCTTAATTTTTGGAACTCATGAAAACTTCGTCTTGGACAGGCAAAGTATTGGGTTACAGATGGTACGTTGTGACAATCTTCTCTTTAACTATGAGAAATTGTCCAAGATACGACAGGAATGTCGAAACTCAATGCAATCAAAGTCAATTAATAGTGCTAATGACGGAATCTGTACCACAAAAGGGAGAAGTGGTCCTTCGGTGCAATTGCACACTCAAAGCTCTTATTCGGGCCTGCTAGCCACTCACGATTAATAAGGTGTACTAGCTACAGATGGCCGGGAATGAAACGAGGATGATTTCATTCAAAAAACTCAATCACGGAACGATAACATCAGGATTTTGCTACTTAACGATATAATGTGCATCTCTTAAAAGCTTATTACTACAGACATACATACATTAGTCTTCTTCCAAACGCGTATCGTTGGGGGCCCCGTGATGCTGCTTCACCTGCATGCTCATGTTGCTGATGCACCGCCGTGTCGCGCAATCAGGTCGTTGCCCTTCGTTGCACCGTAGATCCACAACGTCACTGTTGCGTGGATGCACCGTCGTTTATCGCGCGACAACAAACAGTCGCCGTATCGGTGTCGAGCCACACCGTGTTGACGCTCGGTATGCAACCGTCACACTCCTCTGTACCCCCACGGCACTAGTGTATCAGCGCTTGTCACGCAGCAGTCTATCGTCGCACTGTCCACTGCCTCCCGTTGCCCCGTCTGTGCGCGTCGCACTATTGCCTTTTGTGCCGCACCGCTGCACTCAGCCGCCTTGGTGAACTATCACCGATTTGTGGATTTATCGCTCCT